CTGGAATGGAGCTACCAAAACATAATTGGAGAGGAATGTGCGAGAACAGAATCGCAAAAGCAATTTTTCACGGGTTGTTTCTCCCCTCATCTAATGTTTCATGGTGTGAGAGCTTTTAAATGTGTATGTGTGTGTGTACGTGTGTTTGTGTGTATGTGTACGTGTGTGTGTGTTCGAGTGTGTGTATGTGTACGTGAGGGTGTGTATGCATGTGTGTGTGGGTGTGTGTGTGCTATTAAAAAATTTCATGTACTAGTTTCGCCCGAAAAATGTATCACAGTATTTTTCTGTAAAAAAAAAATCTCGCAGATGAACGCCACAAGTGATTGTTTGCTAACTCACTACTGTTTCAAAGTAGCCAATGGTCATTTTTTCTATGTAAAATATACAGTGAGTTTCCTATTATCATCCCTCAAATCCTTACTTTTGTGTTGGGTGCAAAAATTCTTTATAGTTAATACGTAAACCACATCTAAGGACTTTTCAATTCTGTGAAAAAACAACCTAAAACTGAAGATGCAAGAAATGCAAAATTTTGCATTTTGGTTTGGTCCCACATTTTTTGTTTCAACATTTCAATATTGCTCATGTGTGTATTCTAATGTAGTATGTACAGAATGGTTTATTTTCCTCTTTATTACTGTTTCGTCTTCCTTGCATTTCCACCTAATTTCCATCATACCTATTCGCTTTTTCTTCCTATTCTATAATTACAATTTAAGTTACAACTCATAAGGCCTAAATTAGTGTTATATTTCATACAAAATCTAAATTAGTGCTGCAACCGTTATACTGACGAGATCGAGATAAGATTCTGAGATGAGGCCGAGATAAGATTACTAAAATGTACATGACTTAAAAGACCGAAATGCCCTTATTTCGGCTGATCGCCCTATTCCATGCTTAAAATTTAAGCTACAACTTAATATTTTACACCCCTTAAATTAGTGCTGCAACCGTTATACTAACGAGGTGGGGATAAGTTTCTGGGATGAAGTCGAGATAAAACTACTAAGATAAGATGTACTTGATTTACGAGTTTGAGGTAAGGTTCTGGGATGAAGTCGAAATAAGATAAACTAGGATAATGTACACGACTTAAAAGACCGAAATGCCCTTATTCCGATTGATCCTATTCTATGCTGCTATTCCATGCTTAAAATTTAAGCTACAAATTAATATTTTACGAAAAAAGCCCCTCAAATTAGTGCTGCAACCGTTATATTGACGTGGCCGGGATAAGATTCTGGGATGAGGCCGAGATAAGATTACTAGGAAAAGATGCACATGACTTAAAAAACCGAAATGCCTTTATCTTGGCTGATCACCCTATTCCATGCTTACAGTTTAAGCTACAACTTAATATTTTACAAAAAAAAAACCCTCAAATTAGTGCTGCAACTATTATACTGACGAGATCGAGATAAGATTCTGGGACGAGGTCAAGATAAGATGTACATGACTTAAAAGACCGAAATGCCCTTATCCCGGCTGGTCACCCTATTCCATGCTTACAATTTGAGCTAAAACTTAATATTTAAAAAAAAAAAAAAAAATCCCCTTAAATTAGTCCTGCAACCGTGATACTGACGTGGTCGAAATAAGATTCTGAGATGAGGTTGAAAATAAGGCACTGGGGTAAGATGTATACGAGTCAATAGGTTCAAATACCCTCATTCTCGCACTGATACTACTGTACAAATAGAGCTGTGATTTCTTCCTCTCCATATTTATACTATTGATACTGTTGAATGCGTTGCCCCTTTACTTATCCACTTTTTATTCACTTATCTGCAAAAAAAGAAATTTTTTGTCAAAAAATAATGATAGAAATCACCCGCACGAAATCTCATGCTGTTGAAAGATGCTGTTTCACATGGCTCCACATCCCTAACCAGTAAACCAGAACTATCATCAGCACTTCTTCCCGGCCCTGTGAAACCAGACTTCTCATCATCATCGTCGAAGCAATCTGTTTCCTTTTCAGCTGCATTTTCGCTGAAAATATATTGGTTTGTTGCCAATACAACAACATTGTTATGTTTGCCATAAATTCATCGGATTCCAGTTCTTTTTTTTTTGGGAGGAAGGGGAGGGGAGGGGGGAGGAAGAGGGGATTTATGATGCTAAGCAAGAAATTTTATGCTAAGTTAAGGCTGGAAAAACAAACATACTAGCTTGAA